CCTCCTCCTGCCCGTCCGCTGGGCACCCAGCAGTTTATTTCCCTTCTTGTTGGCAGGGCGGCATTGATTCGAGGAAGTCGATATGAATATTAGCCGCGCTTAGCTGATAAACAGGATGTCTATATAAATTTTAATTCCTGCAAGTAGGTAGTCTCTCCTATACCAAGCCTTGTGCCTCGTTTAGGAGACGCTCGCCCTTGGCGTGACCTCCTAGCTCTGGTGGCTACCAGATTTTAAAATCGGATCTCTGAGTGCAAACCAGGAACTTAGAATTCTGTTTATGCTTCCAGAACTTCAGGAGAACCCCGTTTTTGCTAGCCGGGAAATCCAAAGGCTCCGTATGCTGGGATGCAGAAAATGGTCGGTGCTTGGGGCAGCCCGGGCTTGCTGGGGACACCGGGGAGCTCACATCCGTGAGCCTCTTGGGGTGCAGTGAAAGCAACTTGCTGTTTTGGCCTGAAATGCCGTTTCCGTCCCTCTTGACTTCCGTGTGATGTTGGTATCGGTGATGACTGCTCGTGCCCTTTTGGCCTTCCAGAGTTTCGGTACCTCTCCTTTAGTTCCTCAACTACCCCTTTTCCTTTCATGCTAATCTGCGGCTGAAATTTCCGCTACTTCGCGCAAGGCTCTCGCCTGACATGCACACATACTCAGGGCAGCTGTAGAATCAAGAAAAATTCTGCTGCCGTGCACCAGGAGAAGAAAAATCTGGAAATAAAGTGGACAAGCCGCCAGGCTCGGAAGCGCAAGACTCCCACACTTGCAGGCATCAGTTTGAACACCTTACCCTCTCTTTACCGGCTGTTGTTTTTAGCAACTTAACATGTCTTCCAAGTAACAATTTCTTCCTCAAATTACCAGCGTAATTTTGCTTGGATCCAAGAAGGAAAAAAAAAAAAAGAAATCTTTAGAAATGGAGAGAACATTTTATTAATTGGTAGCAGCATGTATGCTCCAGACTTGGCATATATCCTACTGCCTGTAAGCTTCATTGACTTCTGATAAAGGAGCAGTTAATTTTTCAGACTCCTTTTTTATAGTATTTCATTGTTTAAGAAACCCGATCGTGGTTTTCTTCCACTTCTAATTGTAGCTGAATTTGTGCTTTATTTAAACACGTTTAGTCTTGCTCTCTCCTCTCTGTTTTATACGGTATCGGTAGGCGCAAGGGAGTGCGCTTGATTTTGGGTTTGGGGTTTTTCTGGTGTTTCACGAGACTACCTGAAAATCGTTCTTTTTGCATAAGTGGTATTACAGAGCTCTACTTCTAGTGGTGCCATAAACATTAGTGCTCCCTTCGGTTGGAGCGAGAAACCTGTTTGCCTGTACGTGATGCTTCCTCCTGGGGTGAGATGGTTTCGTGACGGCAGCAGCAAGTTACTGCGAGCAAGGGAGGGCTGCAACCAAAAGCTGCAGGCTTCTGCGCGTGACCTGCATCGACAGCTTGGAGGATGAGGAAAGACCCAGGAGGAGGAGGAGGAGGAGGAGGGTGTGCAGTTGCAGGGGCTCTTTCCTGGTCGGGAGGCTTAGGCAGGGCGGACTTTCCCAAAGGAAGGAAAGCGCGCAGTTAGCAGGGCTGAATCCATTGTGGCTGCTCCCCTGCGACCCGAGTTTTAGATGAAGTCGGCCTGGCTGCTGTGACCAGAGGACTTCAGCCGGTCTTTTTTCTGTTGAAATCCTGAATCGTCTTTCAAGGGAAGGGAGAATATTAGCCAGCTGGGAAATGCAGGAGTGGAGAAAACCAACTTGCTCTGTTCTGGAAAGCCTTTAAACCGCTCCTTCCCTCTGGGGAAAAAAAAGCAGTCCTCTGAACCGAACCGAGTAGAGTCCCTCCACAAAGCCCCAGGTGAAACGCAAGCCCCCACCCCTGAAATTCCCTGCGCTCTCCCTGCTGCGGCGAGCGCGGAGGGGATTTCCTACTTCCACCCTCGCACGTTCGTGAGGAAGCTCTGAATTTCCTGAAACCGGAGCGCAAGGTGGTTTCCCTAGGCTTTTTCAGGAGACTTTTACCTTTTCTATTACATCAGTTGCTGGAGGCATTTGAATGGAATGAAAACATTCTGAAGAAACCTCTTCAGAAATGCCAGGTCTCTCCTCCTCATAGCTTTTGAGGATGGGTTTAGGTTTGCTCAAGGACCACCCGTTCGGCCGAACTCACAATAAGATCCTTCACCAGGAGACATCTTCTGGCTGGCGTTCGTGTTCCTTTGCTACCGATTCGGGTACCGTGTGTCTTGCGGGCGTGGAGCTTCAGGGCACCCCGTGCGAAGCACGCAGCGTAGCGAGGTGACAAGCGTGGGGCAGGCAAGCGGGTGAGATGGCAGCCCGGTTCTGCCTGCCCCGCGTTACCGGAGAGAAAAACAGAGTCATTCAGTTCTTCTGTTTCGTCTGGCCCTACTGACCAAGCTATATTCAATCGAATGCTCTACATACCTTGAACTTGGCCAAGAGCGTCAACTCAAGCCGTAGAATTAAGCTGGGAAATGAGATTTCCTTAGAGCAAATACGGAGCTGGGAAATGAGTAAGGAGCTTAGGAATACTCCAGATCTGTGGATTTTCGTTTACGTATTTGCGCCTGAAAATGACTCATGTCTCTCAGTAGACATCTTGGCTTCGCTCTTTGAGGAAGCTTCTCTTAGTTTTTTATGTATCTTGGTTTCAGCTTTACAAAAGCTCGTTCTTGCAGGGAAAATCCTTGGTGAAAAGCGCGTACCGAGTGCTCTCCAAGCCCACTCTGGCGCTCTCAACTTTCCCAGTCCACTCCTGAGCGTTGTCCTTGAAACTACACGGTGCAGATCTGCCAGAGCCCTAGCTAAATGAAATGCGTGCTTCTCGCCTATCCGCTCCTCAGCAGAGGGTGAGCAGCAGCCCAGGACGCTGCCGGCCTAGAACAGGACAGCGGTGGCTCGTCACCCTGTTAACCACTGCCGGTTAGCGCTTGGCAGCGTCACGGAGCGGGGACCGATTCTGCCGTTTCACCTTGTGTCTCGGCTCTGACCCGGTTCCTGCCAGCAGCTTCTAGTGCTGAGTGCCAGACCTGGCTGCCTGTCAGCTTCTGTTCTTGCTGCGGGAAGCATGCTCAGTGACTTAGGAGTCTGGAGTCGTTCCTGCGCTCTGAATTAAGGGTTTCAAATGAAAGAAACGGCTTATTGTACTTGGTGCCTTTTCGGGATTCTGCTGCGTTCTGCTTACATGCAGGGCAGTTATTCCCCCGGCAAGGGTTTTATCATACGATACGAAGCTTAATTTTCATGTGCTTCAGATTGTTCCCTTAAAGACCCTAAAGATCCTTTTTTAAATTTTTTTCTTGTTCTCCAAACAGCAACATGCCTGTTAGAGCATCATGTAGCATTGCACTTGGGGTTGGGCACTGGAGGAGAAGCACGTGTGTTTCGGATCGTGTGCCACTGTGGTTTTTTTGTCCAGGGACATGGCACGCCTCTGTGCGCGGAACACTTGTCCTCGTCCCTAGCGAATGCTGGAGTCTGTTACCAGCTAAGCATTTATGTAATTGGGCTTTGGGCTCCTGTGTCAAATCTCTCTGGTTGTGCATCGTCAGCGTTTTTTACCGCAGTGCTGCTTTGCATGCCCTTCCCCATGTCTTTGCATGATTCTGCAGTCTTCCTTGACAGAAGTTTTGTAAATGACGCTTCAGCAAAGCAACCGGCGGAAGATTTGTAAAAGCGGTTCTTTTCCCAGGGAGAGTGCCATCTCTAAGCGAGGAAACTTGCCGGTGGATCGTTAATTCAGCCCACAAATCTGGAACTAGGCTGGCGTACTATAGCTGCTCGCTCGCGCTGCTGTTTCTTGGTGGGGAGGAAGGTACTTATTAACTCAAGGCTGAAATCTGATTTAGAAGAAGCAGTGCAAATGTTCCGCTGCCGGTAAGAGCAGCCTTTTCTCTCGGCTGTTTGCTCCAGCAACGTGTCGCACTGGCTGAGAGAATTGCCTTTTCTCCCCTGCTAAATCAGGCCTTCCGGAAAAGATTCCTTTCCTTGTTATCTGTGCGTGTTGGATGAAACAGATTACTTTCCTACAGTGGGCTTGAGGGGAGGTACTTTTTAGGACAGAAGCATCTCCCTGTTTGGAGTCTGACGGCTTTGCTGTCCGTGCCCAAAAGAGCTGGGAGCCGCCAGCGCCGGGGAAGGATGCTCGGGGAAGGTGGAGGGAAGAGAAGCAAGGAAGTCTTTGAGGCTGGCGAGCAGCTGACTGGAAGCACTTAGGCTCGTTTCAGCTACGTTGGTGTAGCGTTATAGAGCACTTCTGTTTTAAAATAGATAAATAAATACCTCGATTGTTAGAAGCCTGACCCCCCACCCCCCCATTTCCAGCCCTGTTATGGTGAGGCGTTGTGTGGCTAATGCGACAGAGTCCGCTCCGCTTGCGTCCGGATTTCAGTCCCTGAAAGCTGTTCCCCCGCTGCGTGGCTAGCTGGCAACTTCTCCACCTGTCTTGCTGCCCTTGTGCCGAAGCACTGCAGCTCTCAGGCTGCTGTTTGGGCAGGTCCTCCAGCAGTAAGTTAACACGACAGCGGCGAGGCTGAAGAGCGAAGCTGGGTGGTGAGATCTAGGCAGCCGGTTCCTTTGAGCAAACAGAACAAATGTTTGGGCTCGCTTGAAGTATGTCCAGGAGTTCAGAAATAACTTGCTTTTCAGCACAGTATTGGGCGCCTCTGTGAAGGTGCTGTGCGGCGGTAACGGGCGACAGCCCAAAAATCCCACTGCCTTCTGCAACACTGCTCTCTTGACGAGGTCCCCTCTGTAGGGAAGATGTGCTGAGAGCGAGGAAACAAAGCTTCTTCCTGCCCAGCTTACGGCAAGCTGGCTGGACTCTGGGAGGCTGCTCGGAGATCCCAGGCTCTCTGAGGCGGGGACGACGTATTCTGTTTTCGTACAGCCCAGCAGGGTCTTGTATGCAGCGTTTGTTTTTAAAAAATGCGTTTCCTAATATGCCATCGGGTCAATAACCTCTCTTTTGTTTCCCTTCCTGCTAGGTTGCCATAAAGATAATTGATAAGACACAGCTGGATGAAGAGAACTTGAAGAAGATATTTAGAGAAGTTCAGATCATGAAGATGCTTTGCCACCCACATATCATCAGGTTATACCAGGTAGGAGCACTCTGCAGCGGGTTTTCCATCCCCCTGCGCTATAGCTTTACGCTGTATAGCAGTGCTTTCTCTAGGGTTATCCCTCCGTTTCTCCTAGGTGAGATACTGGGAAAGTGCTTTATGTTTTCTAGGTCTCAGAGTACTTTGATTAGAGGGGCGGGGAAGTGTGGCTAATCCTTCTCTTTTCTGGGAGGTCACGCTTCCGCTGTGGGCTGGCCTCTTGCCATTTGTTTATGGCTATTGTGTGCTCTTCAGTTTCCCGGTTGAAACCGGATGCGGGCTCCCCTTCCCAATTTAAGGGAGAGGGTAAGTCTCGCCCGCTAGCAGGACTGAAAGCATGCGGCTCCCCTGCTCTGCACACACACACCCCCTGCCCCAGTTGCCCTGTGGCCCCGATCTCGCCCGCTAGCAGGACTGAAAGCATGCGGCTCCCCTGCTCTGCGCCCCCCCCTGCCCAGTTGCCCTGTGGCCCCGAGGACGTGCTGCTCTGCTCTGTGCTCTCCTGGACGGCCATCAATGGCAGCGGCAGACCTGCTTTTGAACGTTGGTTGCAGACTTTTTCTCCAGCTTGTTTGGCATTTTTGGTCTGCAAACAAAACCACCAGAGACAGAATCCACGTGTGTTGCCTGTTACGTGTGTATTTGGTGGTGTCCCTCCGACTGCACGATCAAATAGAACAGCAAGGAGGTTGCAACAGGCCAGAGACGGGCAGGGAGCAGGGGAATAAAGGAAGCCATCACCTTGGTGAAATTTTAAATGCTGTTTCGGAAGCTGTTGGGCAGATGAACGAGTCCCTCCCCGGGCCTTTCTGATACAAGGGCTCAAGCAGTGACTTACAACCCGAGAGCGCTAAAAAGCTCTGCACAAACTCTCCTTTGTTGCTTGCAGTCCCGGTTCTGGGAAGCTGCGGGACAGAGGCTCCTTCCCGGGATCCTGCCAGAGCTGACCGCTGACTGCCAGGCTCAGGCGGAACTACCTGCCCCTTTTGCTGCAGCAGTGCACTTGCCAGAGGGCTCACAGTCACAGGCTGCTTGGGGAATGGAGGGGGGACTTCCATCCAAGCTGCGGATGGAAAGTTAGCTCTTCCTGGGGCCGGTGCGCGAAGCAGGGAAAGGGCTGTCCAGGGCCCTTCGTCTTAGGGAAGTATTCAGGTGCAAGAGGCTGGTGAAGGTGGTCGGTCTCCTGTTTGTGGCTGCCTGACTCGGGTGGCAGGCATCAGAACGTTAAAAAGTTGAAATCCTGGGGGAAATATGCTGGGGTTATTTCCTTTTGTAACATAATGTTTGTGTGTGCATTTTAAGGGAGAAGTTGTGGTAACCCTCAATAGAAGTTGCCGTTCCCTAGAACTAACTCTTGTCTGGTCAAGCCCAGTCTGCTTCTCCTCTCTGCCTGATAGATGAGAGTATTTACCTGGGCTCCGAAGAGTTAAAACTGAGTAGCAGTGACAGAGGTTAATGTTTGGCTAGTTTGGCCAAACCGCCAAGTGCGAGATGCTTACAGCAGACACTGCAGGATTGCGGCATTTTTAAGGTACTTAGGGAACGCTTCTTTGCACACTGACTCCTTGAAGCTTTTTATTATTTTTTTTGAGCAAAAAAAAAAACCTTTTTCAACCTGTTTTGTTCCACCTAAAGTTTTTATATGATGCTGAACAGGTGACACTTGTGGCTCAGCTTCGCTAAGGTGAGAAAAGAATACCCGCTGTGGAGCGTGTTTCATCTGGCCGTTCTTTCTGGGTACTTTCAGTGGCATTTATTTTTAGATAAAGACACCTACTAAAACCTGGAGTTGGGAATTCAGAGCCTTTCACAGCTTCCATCAGGAATCTGAGTTTAAAAATCACGTTTCCTCGAGCTTATAAAACTTAAAAGGTATAAGCGAAAGAGGAGAAAGTGTTTATAACAATAGTAGTCCGTAATGTAAGAGATTTTGACTGGC